AATGATGTATTGAAATCTGATCTGGCTCACAAGTCCCAAATTCCAGTTTCTCTTAGTTCTATTGCCACATCCACTCCTAAAGAAACCTCTCCTAAAACCCCCTCTGTTCCCCACTACTATAACTCCCCCTCTTATTGCTGACATTCTTTTTACTAAAGGGGTCTTATGAAGAGATTGAAAGGACAGACTTTAGATGTAAGAAATAGTGGAAAATGAGAAAAAGAAAGAAAGTTAAGACAGGTAAATGCATTAAGGAGGCAAGTTACTCAATATTTCTCAAAGTGCTGTAAATATCTCCTGCTCATGGACTATGAACCCAAATGACATTTAGTTAAGACGAATAGAGGTATAGAAAAATAGAGAGCTAATAGCAAACTATATTAACCATCGTGCAGTTTCTCAAGGGCCAGCTGGTGACCACAAGTTTGACACTTAGTTGATTCAATCTTGCTTGTACCCCCGCTGATATAAAGATTTTGATTAAGTTACTTTCTGTTCTGTTTAGGTGTGGGTAAATATGGGGACAATTGTAATTTTTAAATATGTATTCGTGATGTTCAATGAAATGAAACAGCTTAGAGGAATTGTACTTTAACAAAAAATAACCTTTACTTCAATAGAAATTGCTAAGGCAGCTTAAAATGTAAACGTGTTCCGCCCAATGCCTCCCAGCTAGTGCTTAAAGATATAAAAATAAATCAGGCCCTGAGACTTCTCAGAGGGAACCTGAACATTGCTTGTGAAGGTTCTTTTCTCATTGCCGGCCCAGGACATCTCCCCTTCCTACCCTGCATCGACATCGACCGCAGCTGGTCTGCGGCACCGCACCTGCCTGGCAAGTGCAAGGTCCTGAGTTCGATCATCAGTACCACAAAAAAAGAGAAGAAAATGAAATCCCAATGTGCAACTTATAAGGCTGTACACCACCTGGCTCCTGACTGTCTGCAATCTCAATTTACTTCGCTTTCTCCCTCAGCTTCACTCGAGCCATACCCCTTGACCCTTGCCTCACACTCACACACTGTAGCTCTCATCCCAGTGCTGCACAAAACTCTTCTGGCTCTCAACCAGTTCCCAAGACCACCTTCCCCATGTCACCTACCGTATCATGGCAGCCTGTTTTGCTTCCTTCACAAAACTAATCGCACTCTGATACCAGGCAAAGTAATGGAGCACTCTCCCTAACGAAGGGCTCGGCCCTGAGAGTCACAGTTGGTGTCCCCTCCTGCCTGCTGCCATCCACACCGCACCCACGCAGAGGCAACACAGACTGCAGGCAGAGATAGCAAATCTAAGTCTGAAGATTAAAATGCAGGTCACAACTGACTACAAAAATTTGCCCCCTGCCAGAGTGTACATTTATGTTTATCTTTAAATGCAAGGATTAAAAAACAAGTATTTCTTCTACCAGCCATGTTAGTATACAAACCCTTTTTTTTTGAGACAGGGTCTCACTATGTACCCAGACTGGGTACTCAAACTCACAGTGATCCTCCTGCTCAGCAAGTCCTGGGATTATACGAGTGCGCCACCATGCCTGGCACAAGACTCATTCCCGAAAGTCTACTTTGTTCCTGTCTTTTCTGTTGAAGGATAATTCTACATAATGTCATTCCACTTTCAGTAAGACACATCACCTGGACAACCAAACACCACAATTCAGATCCTAAGAATATCAACCAATCTTTTTTTGTAAAAAGAGTCTGTATTTGGTACAGCATTCCACTAACAAAGTGAAAGTGAAATTACATCCAACACATCAGAATGGCATTGATGGCCCTTGGTCTCATACTGCAGTTGATGCTATTAGTGGCTGATTAAAAAGACTAAACATTAAAATTAATAAAAATTTACATTAAGGTATTTTGGCACCACTTATAATTGTTAAACTACAAATGCTGAAACAATAACGTTTAGATAAGTATTTTGGGGTTTTTTGTTTTGTTTTGTACCGGAGATAGAACTCAGGACCTTGCGCTTGCGAGGCAGGTGGCAGAACCACTGAGCTAAATCCCCGGCCCTGAAACAATAACGTTTAAACTGTATGGTTTAAAAAAATAAAAAGGGGGGCCAGGGATTTAGCTCAGTGGGACTGTGCCTGCCTTGCAAGCCCAAGGTCCTGAGTTCAATCCCAGATACCACAAAAAAAAAAGTTATTTCTAGAAGGATGACTAAAAGCAGACTGCACTGAAAATCCAAGAATTAAGAAAATATTTATGTAACTAAATGCTGGGACCCCTTCCGTTCACCTCCAACCGCATCCTACCCATCTCCCAACACTCAGCTGGAGAAAATGTTTTAAGATTCTTTGGGAAATCTGACCTAAGAGAGAAAGAAAGAAAAAGAGAAAGAGGAAGAGAAAGAGGCTGAGATACTGATGGAAGAGTGGGGATGGGCTTCCTAATGAAGCACCAAAGGCCAGCAAGCCTATCCTTATGCTCAGAGCTTCTGATGTTTTAAGCTGCAGCTAAGCACAGACCTTAACATATACACTGAACTAAGGTGGGGAGACCATGCTAAGGGACCCTTCAGACCATATCTTCTTTCTACAGTACCATCATATAGGGATCATTCTGGTGAAAATACTGCTTCACCTGTTGTCCTAGGCATCTCTTTTAATCTGCCTGTATTCAATTTTATCTTTTTTGTAATGTTTTAAAAAATGAAAATGTATCTCACACAACACGTATTTCATCATTTTAAAATGTACAATTCATAAGCCTGTAGTCCCAGAACTTGGGAGGCTGAGGCAGGAGGATCGTTATGAGTTTGAAGCCAGCTTGAACTACAAAGGGAGACCCTGTCTAAAGAAAGAAAGAGAGAGAGAGAGAGAGAGAAACAATTCAGTAGTTTTTAGTACTATGGTTTCACTCACTGTTATGCAACCATTACCACTATTTCATTCTAGAACATTCTATCACCCTAAAAGAAACCCCATACCTATTACCAGTTAAGTCTCAATTCCCCCTCCCCCATTCCTTGACTACCATTCACCTGCTTTCAGTCTCTATGGATCTGTCTATTCTGGACAATACTTAGGGGCAAAATTATATACCACGTGGCCTTCCATACCTGACTTCTTTCATTAACACAGTACATTCAGGGTTTATCAAAGGACATCAAAACTTCAGTCCTTTTATGGTTAAATAATATTCCATTATATGGATATATCATATTTTGCTTATCCACTTGTAAGCTGATGGACATTTGGTTTTTGTTTTGGGGTATGATAAATCATGTCCATATTACTTTTTACTCTCCTGTTGTTAAATATAAGTAGAGAACCAGAAATCAGCCCATCTGAAAAAAAGGAATTAACACAAAGAACTAGACACTAAAATGAACAGGAGAAAAATTCAATGGGGCAACCCAATGAGAAATGTAATTGTGTTGTATACCTAAAATGTACCAATAAAAGAATTTTTTAAAAATTTCAATGGGGCAAAAAGAGCTATAAAATAGGAAGAAAACGTTCAAGTATCTCCTAAAATTATCTTTAATAAATTTCAGCTAATAAAACACACCATGTACCTGAAACAAGTGTAGACTCTATTAAATGGCTGAAATGCAGGGATAAGCTGACAGGAAAGATGCAACAGGAAGTGCATTTTAAGACGCACTGACTAAAACATTATAAAATGTCACCTTGTAATGGCACTGTAACGAACAATGCGCCTGGTTACCTTCTCTTGTAAGGAGACCTGCTCTTGTGCAATCACTCTTCCTTCCAACAAACCCATCTGCTCCTTACCAGTGTCTCTAAACTCCTTTCTGCCTACCACACTCCCATGGCTGACTTTTGTCCCTAGTCTGTGTAAATATCATTGGCTCAGAGACTGGCCGCCATACAAGGTGCCCTGTTCCTTTCCTGCAGGTCACATTGGGGCCCACACCCCAACCTGAAAGGTCACTTCCGGAGGGTCAGGCCTCCTCAGACTTATTTACCGCTTCACCCCACCCAGGCTGTGGGAGCACTTGGTGATGCTGTTTTTCAGAATGCTACCACACACTCAGGGTTTTTTTTAATAGAATTGGAAAAAGGAAAAATTTACACTCAACTCCTTACCTGCCTTGAAAATGCCAAAATCATCCTTTAAAACATGGGTGAACGCTCACACTAAAGTATTCACTGTTTTTCTGAGGTTCAGTTTTTTTTTCTTTTTAAGATAGTGTCTCACTGTGTTCCCCAGGTCGGCCTCAAACTCAAGGCTCAAGTGATACTTCTGCCTCAGCCGCCCACACTGCGGGGACGACAGATATGTGCTGCCACACCCAGTTCTGAGGTTCAAATTAAACAGGGAACTCTATAATTTGGCAACCTTAGTCAAGAGCAGAGGAGAGAAAACCAGAATGCAACATGTCGGGGTCAAAGAGACAGAAAGAGAAGTGCTATAATGAGTAAGAGACAGATGGGAAGACAGGTGTATAAAGAGAAATTTATAATTTACTGCACTGTTCAACAAGTTTACCTCTCAAGAAAACCAAGGTAACTGTCTATCTATATTACTTTTTCTTTTTTTCGCTACTGGGGATGGATCTCTGGACCTTGCACTTGCCAGGCAGGCATGGTGTGGCTGAGCTAAATCCCCAGCCCTATCTATATTACTTTTTTGTTTGTTTTTGGTACCGGGGATTGAACTCGGGTCCTTGTGCTTGCGAGGCAGGTGACAGAACCACTGAGCTAAATCCCCGGCATATATAACTTTTACAAGTGCAGATGGGAGACTATCTCCTCTGTGCATGGGTCAATACTTCCTAAGCTACCTCTGGACTGGGTATATTAGCACCCTGAACTAGGTCTGAAATTCCAGAGGGCAAAGGTTAAACTGCATCACCAGCATCTAGAACAGCTGCCATAAACATGTTTAACACGAAATCTAAAAGCAACACCTAAAACAAATAGATCAGCTACTCTAGCCATACTCTACAATTATTATTCAACAGGAAAGAAAAGGAGCAACTTGAAAAGCCTGGAAAGCAAACAAATGAAGCATACTTACTGTTTCAAAAGTATTCAATATTATCAAAGGTAAAAAAACATCAAAATACTCTCCACAATCTTGAAATCTGACAGGCACAGGTCTTGAGATGGACTGGCAAAGACTTGCTGGGGGTCCACAAAGATCGAAGTTCAAAAACATTTCGTATTTCCATTTTAAGACTTCTTTAATGAAGATGTCAGAGATAGACTGTGAGAAAAGAATGTTCATTGGAGGGGAAGCAGAGAAGGATTTGTTTTCACCAAGTGGAAGTTTGTAACCTTGCCTGTTGGAATTATTTAGAGTCTGAGAATGAACACTGTATAAACTATCCACTTCACCCACTGGCTTGAGAGATGGTGGGGAAGCGGGCTGTGGCCCTTTTAAAATAGACTGTACCCCATTTGATTTACTTTTTAGAGCTGATGGAGGTGCTGGAGAACTTTCCAAAGACTTGGAGAGATGGGCAATCCGGGAAGTGCTACTTGAGCTAAAAATTTTAGTGGTGGAAGGTCTCCGTGCGGGAGGAGGCAAGCCAGGCTTACGAAATACATTGTCATCAGCTGCTTTAGCTTTTAAGTGCCTTGGACAATACTCATCCTCGTTCTTCAGAGTTTCAGCACAATCTTTGTACTTACACTTTGTGCCACTCTGTGCCAACTGAGGCCAACTTCCAGAACCTTCTACCTGAACTCTAACTTTTCCATGAAGCACTTCAAAGAGTTTATCATTCTCATCCTCCATTTGTGAACATAAATCCATATCTTCAGGACCATGTTGTGTTAAAAATAAATCATCATCATCCGTATCACTACTGGATTCTGGTTCTGCCTCTCTCAGAGTTGCCACTGCTACCTGACGCCCTGTTGGCTCACCCCCACCTACAGGGTCCTCTGAAGTAGAGACAATCATTTCATCTGTTGGGATTCTTCCATTTAACACTCTGGAATCACAATGGTTTAAAGCATTCTCAGGCACCTGAGAATGTGCTTTTATGGCTTCTGGTTCTGAAGGCATGGATTTTACTAACCGTTTTTCCTTAATGTTAGCAAGTACCTCATGTCTTTTAGAATTATAATCTAACCTATCAGATTCTGGTACAACTATGTCAGAATTCTGTGTTCTACCTGGCCCTGGTCTTGTAGCCTTTGAACCTTCGTAACTACAACGTTCTTTCCTTTTTTTGTGTGATTTCTGTCTCATCTGCCTTTGCACCTGAAGATCCTGACTTGTCAGGAGTTTCTTATTATTTTTAACAGAGAGAGTCTGGGGAGAAATTAACTTCGTCTTTTTTGGGGTACTAACTGCTCCGACATTTTTGCCATGATCCCGTAACTGACCTATAGAGTCTAAAGTTCTCTGGGACAAGTCAAATGCCCTCCGAGGAGCTTTCTTCAGACCAAGTTTCTCAACTGTTGATGTTGGTTCAGGACAATGGCGCGTTTTCTTTGGTGGCACTACAGCAGGAGCTGTTCTACAACTTAGGTAATGTGAACTTTTATTCTGCCCTTTTTTGGCATCTGAATGTGTTTTCTTAGGAGTTTTAGAAACTGGTCCTTTCCTAGCAGGTTTTGAGTAAGTACAAGCCTTTGCAGCAGACTTCGCTTGAACGGTGGTAGCTCTCTCAACACTTGAACTGGGAGTTGTGGTACTTATCTCGGTACATTTTAAATCACTTTCAGTAAGATCTCTCTCATTAAGAATGTTAGACTGGTCCTCATTTCTGACAGAAGGTGAAGGCTTTGGAGGATCTTCAGTTACAGGCTGTTCAAATTGCTTTCTCTTACGATTTTTTACTTTAGTTTTACCATATTCCTTAACAGAAATGCTACTATGTGGTTCTCCATGTTCTCCAATGTCCTTTGCTACTTCTTGAACAGCCTCTTCAGATACATAATCCGTACCATTACCCCAATTATTTGTGCTATCAGCTATGTGAGTCACACATGAATTTTTTTCCTCCTCTTGAACTGAATTCTGATTGTCTACTTTCTGATCCTGCCAAACTGAAAACACTTGAGATTGACTTTCAAACTCAAAAACCTGAGAATCAGAATCCTCAAACAGAAAAGACATTTTTTCTTCTTTTATAAGCTGTTTGTCTGCATTAGTATTAACTGAATCATGCTGCTCTGGACATTCTTTCTTAAGGCGTATTTTGTCCTTTTCAATGTGTTTCTCAAAACCCAGAATTTCATCTTCATCATCAGAATCTGAAATAACAATAACTTGTCCACAGCAGCTGTCCACGTTATGATGAGCCGTGAAGCATCTTTTATCATCTTTTCCTTTCCTTTGCAGCTGGCGTGAGCTTTTTTGAGTTAAATCTGATGGAAATTTAATAACACTGGCTTGAGCTACTAAAGATAATTTGTGGAGGTCTCTGTCTACCTGAGAATCTGTTAAGGTGTCAGACTCAGGACTAATGCTAGGAAAGGGTTCTTTTTGCAAGTCAGAGGAAATCAGAGCTGTACTCTTAGTCCTTTCCTTATCTCTTGATTCAAGCATGGTCCCAGGCTCCTTACAGAGAGACATCTTCTTTACCGAAGTATCGCTCATTTCTGTTAATGAGACCAAATCTTTATCAACATGACACTTCTGTATTTGACAACTCTTTTCATGGGAAGAAAAAATATCCAATTCTTCATTCTTTAAATGCTTCTTTTTCAGCAACCAATTGTTTTGTGATTTTTGTTCTCCATTTTCATCAACCAGAACGCCATCAGGGTCTAAAGACAGACTCTGTGTGGTTCCACCTTCTTTCTGCACACCTTTATCTTTCTCTGAACAAAAACTCTCCATGTTACCTACCGCCAGATTTTCCTGTACACTGACAGCATTATTGACCACCGCACTTTTCCTGGGTTGCTTCTTTATGACATGTGATAACTTTGTACAGATTTTATCTTTCTCTGCCTTAGATTTTGGTTTTGAAGATTTACCAAGAGCATCATCCTTTAAGGAGAAATCCTCATTTAATGTGGACACATGTTCTGGAGAACCAGTGCCAGAATCAGTCAATGAATGGGTTATCATTATTGCTCTGTCACCTTCTCCTCCTCGACCATTTCGTGAAGTACAAATCTGTGGTGTACATGAAGAGCTCTCTTCCACAGACATCTGCTTCCTTTTACTTACTTTAGTCTGATCTTGAGCTCTTTCAGTAAAGTGGCTTTTACAACTCAGCTTTAACCATGACTCAGCTGAGAGATGGTCTTCAACATTCAAATCCTTTAGATAATTTTGCTCTTTATCCCCTTCTTCTATAGTGTTACTTGCTTTAATCAATCTATGCTCTTGTACTTGAGATGTTTCAGTTTTCACTGGTTCTTTAGAAAATGTCAGGCAGGAATTTTCCAGACAGTAGATGTCTTTTTTAGGCTTCTTCCTTTTTTGTTCACTTTCTTCTTTAAAAGATGCAGGTGGGGTTTTATACGTGGGAGTCAGATCCACAAAAGGGTTACTTGGAGGTATTTTTAATTTTTCTAAGGATTTGTTTCTAATTATTTGTTTTAAACAAGTTTGTAACTCATGGGTTTCCTGGCTAGTCAACTGCCAACCTAGAGACAAATTTCCTCGAAGGAACAGGTTAAGCTTATCCCAGAATCGCTTGCAGAGAGTCTGCTGACCAAGCTGATAACCTTCTTTAAGGAGACTCCTAATTAGCTGCACACAAGCAAGCTGTACAGAGTTAGATGGCACTAAATGCAGTGGTAGCGATGTGATCATTGCTGTTCCTTTGGAATAACTTCCAGCTGACTTCTCAGAACTCCGTACAAATGCACTAGTAGGAAGCTTGGCACATTTTACTACAGCTGCTACCCACTGCTGGGAACTAACCCACAGCAAATGCAAACATTTTTTATTTCTATGCAGTTCAACCACTGACACCAAAATGAGAAGAAAAAATTCCGTGACTTTGTCACATACAGCATCTGTCTGGTTGAGGACATCCTTGACCTGCGAGTACAGATGATGAATCACTTCTACGATGTAAGCCACGCCCAGATCCTTCAGCTCCATCAGAGACTGAACGAAAGGTATAAACCACAGAAATGTGCTGTTATGAACACGCATGTCTTGGCCAATGTCTGACTGAAGGACACTGGCCAATGTTTCCATTTCTTCATACATGTTAGGACAATAATCTGGGCAAATAGCTGTTCTCCACCCTGAATCCTAAAATGAAAAAAAAAAAAATTTCATATAAATAAGTGCTGTAATGAGATTAACACTAAAATTGTAAAATAGAAAATACATCCCTCAACTTTCCTACTTTTGTTTACATATATTATTTCTATCACACATAAGCCCCCAGGAAATCAAAAATATAAGCTGAATGTTGACATCAAAGTTTCGTAAAATGGCGAATTCATATCAGTTTCCTGTGCTCTGGCCTTCTTTCATTAGCTAGTCTTGATTATTCGCCATACCAGTCTCTCCCCTTACCCCACAGGCCTTCCAATTTCTCAAAATATACTTTAAAATGTTCCAAAGCATAAATAATGTAGTTAAAATTCATTTCCCCCATAATACATCTGTTCAATCAGAAACTCTTTATGTAGCAGGTGATTCAGAACAGTTACACATCATAGAGTCAGCTAATTATGAAAAACACCATCCACACAGTATCACCTGAATTTTGAAAGTACTTTTTACCTTTTTTGTCTTTTCAGGATTATAACTGTATACAATCTGGCTGCAAGTCACCATATCATCCAAACATGGCTCTGGTTCTAACTTGGTCCTTAAATATGAAGAATAAATACAAATTACTGAAATGAAGGGGAAAAAAGAAAATAGAAAAAAGCCCCCTTATTGAGACAGTTACAACAGATTTCCTCACAAAGATTATTTGTAAATTCTGACATTATCTTAACTAACCTTATAGAGCTATTCCGTATATTCTGGATCTCTTTATTATAGCTCACATTGTTGATAATGGTTTGAAATGCCTCAATAGGATCAATCAGCTGACCCCAGACCTTAGATCCAAGGCGATCCAGGATTACCATGAAACAATGTAATGCCGGCCAAAAAGGATTCACACTGTCATCTGAAATACAATGTAACAATTGCTGGATTACAAAACAATTTTCAAAACAGTAAAATACACTGAGAATTAAGCATTCTCTGCCTGGTTAGTGACAAAACTAAAAGCAAAGCAGCAAGTAATTTAAAGTCATGCCAATACTTACAGGGTTCTTGCTTTGTTTTGTGGTACTGGGAATCAAATCCATGAGTGCCCTATCAGTGAGCTACACCTCCAGGCCCAATTTATTTTAAGACAGGTCTCACTAAATTGCCCAAGCCAGACCTGAATGTGTAATCCTCCTGCCTCATCCTCCCTGAGTGCTGGGATTACAGGTGCATGCTACCATGCCTGGCAACACAGTTTCAAAAGCTGGCAAATTCTCGGAATTTCCAAGTAATACTTAGACTTCTCTGTAAAAAAAATCCAAAATGAAGTACAAATTGTTTAATAGGCACCAAAACAGTCTAGGTAAAAATAACTTTCACATATTGTTTGTCGTATCCAAAACAATTTTTCCTAATAAGCTCCTCAATCCATTCTGAAACTTTATACTCTCACTCTTCAATAGAAAAATGGGCCTGGGATTTAGCTCACTGGCACCACGCCTGCCTTGCAAGTGCAAGGTCCTGTGTTCGATCGCTGGTACCTAAATAAGTAAATAAACAAATAAGTGGAAAGGGGGAAAAAAGGAAAAAATAAACTTGGTAGTTACAGATACAAACAAGGCCTATGATACAAAGAAATCTGCTTCAGGACGATTTTGAATTTTGTATGCTATATAGCTAGTGAGTGTTATGGGCCAAATCCCTTAGCTAATAAATGTACAAGAAAGACACACAGTCTTTATCAACCCATTTCTCAACATGGTGTTACCATTATCTTTCATTCAACTTTGGAGGAATTCCTTATTCACAAGCTCTTACCTGCATTCCTCTCCCTCTTGTCTATCAGATATGCAGTGGGAAGACACTGCCCTACTCAAAGACCTTCAACAGTTTCTTAATGTCTCCAAGAAAATTCAAGTAATTAGTCAAGAACTTATAAAAGATCTTGGGCCGGGGATTTAGCTCAGTGGTTTCGCCGCCTGCTGTGTAAGCACAAGGACCTGAGTTTGATCCCCAGTACCAAAAAATAAAAATAAAAAAATAAAAAAATAAAAAATAATAAAAGATCTTGCTGTTTCTTTCCCACTTTTTTATTTCCATAATCACACAATAGCAAAGATAAATCAGTCTTTTTCACAATAAGCACTAAAATGCCTTCACTGTTAGCATCACCTATCAATGTTCTATCCATCCTTAGAAGTCCAGTGTAAATGCCTCTTGCTGCATTAAATATTCCCCAGCTATTTAACTTCCTACACTATTCTTTGGAGGCAAGTGCTCTAACTCACTCCATTACTGGTAACATGTAGTCACCCTAGAACCTGCAGCGTTACCTCCTTTAGACCTCTTAAAAATCTGCTTTTTATAATTATGTTACATGTTGTTATGTCCTTTATGGCAACTAGTAGTGCCTTATGTTTAGTAAGCTCTCAAATAGTTAGGTGGTTTTTTTAAGAAGTGACTCACATTTTGAAAAAGCTAGGTGAGCTGAATGAACAGAAAGGGCAGAATTATATGTGCAGTTAGGCACAGGACAAGAAATAATTTATGCAGTAAATGTTCACAAATGAATTAGTAATAACCTTAATCAGGAATAATCTAGCAAGACAATATATGCCATCAAACACAGAATAGCGTATTTCTTTTAGACTCGCCCACAAATAAGTTTATATTCATAGTCAAGTTGCTTAAAGGGAACTAAAAGAAGGCATAATATATATTCATTATGTTTTCGGTGAACATGGCATGCTTAGCCTTTACTGAGTCCTTCCTTCATAGAGATTAGAAACACTTATTTGTTAAGTATAGATCCTCCAGGATTAGTGTGATATAATGATCAACAAAAGTAAGATCGGGATCTAGTAAGAAATACGACTACAAGTTTTAGGCCTCATTTTCTTTTTTCTTCTTTTCCTTTTTTTAAGACCTCATTTCCTAGGCTACCTACAGTAGCACTGTTCAAGGGAATTTTTTTATGATGAAATGTTCTCTGTCTGCATTGTCTAATATTGCAATGACAGGTGCATGTGGAATATTAAATGTAAAAGGTTCTTTCCAATTTAAGAGTGAATTCTAGGACCTAAACCATAAAAAAGTTCATTCTTGCCGGGCATAGTGGCACACGCCTATGATCCCAGCACTTGGGAGGCTGAGGCAGGAGGATTGCTGCCAGTTTAAGGCCAGCCTGGGCTCCACAGTGAGTTCAAGGCCAGCCTGAACTACATAGAGAGACCTTGTCTCAAAAAAACCCCCCAAAATGTTAATTCTTCTCTTCTTCACGCTATATTCCACTCCAATTCTTACAATGACACTAAGCATTTTCAAAGTGTAAAGCAAGTAAAGTGAATTACCATCTGACTGCCTCTCCATGGTGTGAAGGATTGATTGCATGAAATCGTTTTGTTTATCTGAGCCCAGCAACAGCGAATCCATGGCTTGCTCCTCAAGAATTGTCAGCAACATGCAAATACCTGTAAGACCATTCATTTCTTGAATTGAAGAAATAACACTATTCTAATTCCTTCTCTGATTTAGTTGGCCGTGTGTGTGTGTGTGTGTGTGTGTGTGTGTGTGTGTGTGTGTGTGTGTGTGTG